CGACGCTGCTGCAGCAGCTGCAAGGATTCAACAACATTTAGAAAGAGAAAATAATGTTCCACTAAATATCGCCATCACAGGAGAAAGTGGATCTGGTAAATCCACCTTTGTTAATGCCCTCAGAGGGCTGTCCAATGATGATGAGAAAGCTGCGCCTACTGGTATTACAGAAACCACCAATGAGGTCACACCGTACCCCCATCCAAACTATCCCAATGTTAAATTATGGGATCTTCCTGGAATCGGCACCACCAAGTATCCAGCTAAGAAGTACCTGAAGCTTGTTGGATTTGAGAAGTTTGACTTCTTCATCATCATCTCAGCCGATCGCTTCAGAGAAAATGATGTGAAACTCGCTCAGGAGATTCATAAGATGAAGAAAAAGTTCTACTTTGTTCGATCAAAGATTGATGAAAATTTACGCGCCGAAAAAAGACAGAGACACTTCAGTGAAGAGGAGACTCTTACAAAAATCAGAGAAGACTGTGTTCACAGTGAGTTTCTGATCACTTAGAGCTGAGTTTGATCACTTTATAGATTTATATAATGTTAACATGTGTTTCTTCTGTGACACAGGACTCAGAGGATTAGGCATCGAGTCTCCAAAGGTCTTCCTAGTGTCCAGCTTTCAGCTCAAACTGTACGACTTCTCTCTCTTGCAGCAGACCTTAGAGAGAGACCTTCCTAAAAACAAGAGGGACACTCTGCTGTTCGTCATGCCCAACATCAACCCAGAGATCATCATCAAGAAGAAGAAAGCTCTGAAGTCCACAATAATATGCTATGCTCTTGGATCTGCAGCTGGAGCAGCTGTTCCAGTTCCTGGTGTTTCTATTGCTGTTGATGCTGCTTTGCTGATTGGTGCTGTCACACATTATGTTCATGCGTTTGGTCTCGATATCCCGTCTCTGAAGAGATTGTCTGACAGAACAGATGTGCCCTACGCTGATCTGCGTGCCGTCATCATTTCACCACTGGCTGCAGTAGAAATAACTGCAGGGCTCCTCATCAAGGTTTTGACCCAAGTGGGACGCACAGCTACATTAATTGTAGCAGAGGAAGCATCCAGATTTGTTCCCATTGTTGGAATCCCATTAGCAATGGGCTTCTCTTTCGGCACAACCTACACAATTCTGAAATCGATCCTCAACCAGCTTGCTGATGATGCTCAGAAGGTGTTTGAAAGAATTTCAGTCTGAACACATCAGTGTGAATTTGTAAATTAAAGATGAGTGAAACAAAAGAGTACAAATTAAATTAATTGAAATCATTAAATATAAATATATTGAAACCAAATCATGTCGCAGCTGCATATCTGAGCCATTATCCTACTATAGCTGATAAATGTATCAGAGGCCTCAGCAGGTCTCATTTCTTCTCATCACATCAATACAGGAACAAATGTGATGTTTTTATTCAGATAAAACCTGCTAGAAGAGCTGCTGAGTTTTTTTTCTAACCCTTTGTCTGACTTGGTG